TGTTGAAAAAAATTATATAAATAATCGTGGGCGATAGTTTTCGTTAAATCATCAATTCTGTAAAATACTTTTCATTTTTCTGTTCTCTCTTAATTCTCGCATCCCTTCATGCTCGTAAAAATAAGGATTGTTTCAGAGTTAACGCTATCTTTTTGTTCTCGTAGTAATTTTATTCATAATATTTCGTCTCTTCCGTTGTGTGAAAATACTGATTTCCGCATCAATCTCGCTTTTGAATTTCATTGTAAATACCAGCGTAATCCCCGTGTGACGGACGCAACGTGGGGGTGCAAGGGCTGGAAGAGGGGAGAGGGGAGGAAGGTGTAGCTCGGCAGGACACTCTCAGGCAGGTCCTGATTTATGAACAAAATCTCGAGTAAACGCTCGTTTCTGCGCTCTGCTGGGCGTGAAATGGCTTTGGGCGAGTTCTCGCTGCAACTGAGGAAGGGAAAGGGGCATGTCCGCGACAGCCGAGCCGACTATGCGCGCAGTTCCGGTCCCCGTGGACCGGAAGTACCGGCTCATACCGCTCGATGACGTTCATAATTTCACCTGACGATCGTCTGACAATTTTGCCGACATCTTTGTCTAATATATTAAAATATTAATAGCAAAATTATATTTTATTCTTCTATTATACTAATAACACTTTAAAAAGCAATTTTAAGCAAAATTAAAAATTAAAAGATAACGTACGAGATATTCTTCCTTATTTCTCTCTCTTTTAAATTAATCGCGATTATTAGCAATTAAAATATTGCCCGGTTAATCGATATATTAATATTCTCATAAACTTATGTAAGAGTTGCTGTGTGTGAGGTGTAATATAATTATTGTGAAATGTATCCTCTATTGCGGTATTAAAAGTAGTATTGATCAAATAATTTGCCGCTAATCAATGATATAATCGCGAAAACGCAATTATATATTTATCTGTATTAAACAACATAATTCTTGTGACCAGTTTAAAGGATTGCGTATCGTTCGAACTTTGGCTTCGGCAATGGAACCGGAAGCTCGTTCCCCCGCCATAATCGACATTCACATTCCCTCAGGGCCATAGGCGCGGCCGATGACTCCGAAAACATCAAAATTAAAGGTTCACGCCGACTTTCCGACTTGGAAACAAAAATCCGAAATTACGGTCGTGCGTGTTATTCCGAGAACAGGTGAACCCCTAATGATTTCCTGTCATTTCATTTTCGATTAGATAACACATTCTTTATATGAATAGAGGAAAACTAGTAAAATCGATGTATCATTTTGTTTTCGGATTCTAAAGTTAAAAATTTAAAATACACTAATTTACACCTACGGATATTTACTAGAGATTGTTTCTTATCATTATTATATTGCAGTTTTAATAATATTATTATTTTAAACTTTATTTTAAACAATTTTTTTTTCAAATTAAGACAAATATTGAGATTTAACAAATGGATTTTTAAAACTGACATTCAAGAAAACTGTAGAAAATTACAAAAATGTAGTATAAAACTTACAAAAAATATTTTCAGACTTCAAAAGATCTGAATACCAATAGATATTAATTAGCGTATAAATGAACAACAAATGTACAAACTATTTTGATAAGTAAACTAAATAAATTCATATTAGTTTCGTTAAATATACCATTTAATTACAAAGAAATAGGGATATGTCGATTTAGAAGATCCATCTGCCGGCGTTGAGACTCTTCTCCATGCAACCTTTCTTCGGACGATTGTTTTCAACATTGTATTCGTCTACGCTTACGTAAAGATAGCAGCGAACCATTTACCAAGACGAGAGGTCGAAGATCGTCTTATAAATTAAGCTTTTATTGCAGTCGCCGCCGCAGACGAAAAGTCTTTTATTCATTCGATAGGGGTTCCCCTTCTGCTTTCGATTTAACGAAAAGTGGCGGGGAAGGGGAAGAGGAAGAGAACGAGATGACTTAAGGCAGAAAGAAGATCGAGGGGTTTCAGCGAAAGAAAGAAAGAATGAGAGAGAGAGAGAATGAGAAGGAGAGAGAGAAGGAAACTGTGTTATCTTCTTCCCCATGATTTTTGCTAATTAACCTCGCCGCAGGCATCGCTTGATTTTTGTTGCACGAGAAAAGATTAGCTCGTTGCTCCCGAAGAATACTGGCGAGTCCGCTCCTCGAGATAGCGCTCGTATTCTTTTTTCCCTTATCTAACGGGATCGCCATCTCATCGATTATTTATCGCGTATAATTTGCTGAATCATGTTATGGTTTATAAAAAAATATATATATGTTTCATATAATATTTTTGATTTTTTATCTTCCCTTTCTCCCTTAAGGTTTCGTACGATATGTCCAGATGCATCGCATTGCAGTTTTGTAGAATAAGAAGATAGTATTTTTGAATCTCATTTTGTCAGGGTTGTCGAATGAAAGTTACATCCCTGATCTACGCGTTCCCTCGTCTCGACCGGAGTTGCACGTATGCCATGTTTACAATATGGATTTATCATTCCCGTCGATATCGGACGTAGACAGTCGTCGGGTCAATTTCTCTCGGCCGAAGGGATGAGAGACGGAGTATGGTAACGGCGACACGAGCACAAACAGCTGTGCGTACGAAAATTAATAAGAGAGAGAAGGGAGAGCGTATCTCTCGTACGACTTATTTACAGCATGCACTCAATAATGCGGCACCGGTAATTAATGGACAATAGGCACATACTGATGAAAGAAAAAGATGCGACGCCTTATAAATAACACGCGATAAGGCGTATAAAAGAGTCTCTTATATATACAAAGATGCATATGACGGAAATGCATTTGCGTTATCTAATTCTTTTGTTTCTTCGATGCGTTCATTTTCAATACAATTACAATCGAATATTAATTGTTTCCGAGAATGTGCGTTTGACAAACAAGCTCTCGTCGCGCACAGATAGAAGAATATTAGTAGACGATTTGATATCGCTGCGAAAAAAAAATTACACCGATCGCAGACTATTATTATGACAAAATTGATTGAATCGCGACGTTTGCTACAAATATAATAAATTTTATTATAGAGACTTATATACGCGGCGTTTGAAAGAAAAACGTCGCGTATTAGCGCATATTAATTTCTCGTGCTTCGATATAGAGATAAATTCGACTTTATTGATGCTGTTATATTTAAATCTCATTGTCATTATATGTTACAGCTCTTAATCGCGTCGCTCTTCCTTCCGCGATCATCTTCTTTCGATTAGCGGCCGCATCAGGTGTGTCGGCCCGACCCGATGCGGTTTCTAGTCGCATCGGGATTTAATGACCGGTATAATTGACGTTACGGTGTACGGCACGGGTGTCTAAGTGGTCGGAACGACGGGGTACGGTGGGTTTTATCGCGACAGAAAAGAGGCGAGGGTGATTTTTCGCCAGGAATTTCTCCCGCGGTTTAAAGGTTCGGGCTTGATAACACTCAATTGACATCTATATTTAAGGAGATAATAATGTGTCGCGTTTATTTATATATGAAATGGGCGCGTGTCTTGGCGCTCGCCTATACTTTCGCATGATATCGTACTTTTATTCGCGCTTCAAAGGAAGAAAAACACACTCGATGCCACTCGATACAAGCATGATTGATACATAGTTGTGTTTTATATAATACGATTGCTAATAGTGTTTAAAGAGGAAGTACATCACTGTGCTGCGATTTAATTTATCATCTGTTTTAAAAATACGAATCACAGACAATAGAGTTCTCTGTTTTAAATAATTTATGTAGCATCTGTGGGAATGTATGTGTAGGCAGCTTTAATATAAATAATTTATGCTATCTTTTTTATATATGTTTGTATGTGACTCATTTTTTATTACGTTAGATATTTTTTATTTTGTTTGTCAAGATATATACATGAAAAATTTTATCTAAATAATTTATAAATGTGTTAAAAAAAGTATTTCATTATTTCTTCATTATATACATTTTTTTTCAAATGTACCTAATTATAAAACTTATGATTTAAGAGTTTGAGATTCATGCAAATATACAGGCCTCTATCTAAAGGCCTCTTTAAATAATCTATAATTCGAGACAGAATTCTCTCTTTCTCTCTCTCTCTCTCTCCCTCTCTCTATCCCTAAAAAAATTTTCTACAAAATAAAAATATTTATGCCAAGTATATAAAAAAATATTTAAATTTACATATGATAAAAATATAAGTTTAAAAAACAAAAAAGTTTTAAACACTGTTAAAAAATTAATTACACAAAAACGGATGAGATCCATGCAATTAGTCAAGTATATATTAAAAAATGTGACATATAAAATTATAGAATTTTGTCGCGAATTATATATTATCTAACGAAGCCTATAGAGGAATATACTCGAGTTACAATAGGTTGTCACTTATCGATGACTGGTAAACTACTCTTGAGCTTACTATCATATTACTCAGGCGAGTGTGAGCAACTTTAATGCAATACAATTCTCATATAATAAGTGGGAATACGAAAAACTTTTTTATCTAAAATTTATCTAAATAAAATCTGATATTGAGAAAATATATACTTTGAAACAATTACAGGTAAATATTGGTATCTTGCTAATAAAAATTCGAAATATAATTACAGAGCACCGACATGAACGATCGTCGATGATTAAGTTTACAATATTACAGTAGATAGATAACCTGAAAGATTTGTAAGAAGAAAAATAAAAACATGTAAAAAAACCTTGTCAATATGATTGTAGATTGTAATATGTATTATTTCTGAATATCTGTTTTTGAACGTCACCTTTCTCGAACGTCAAATATATAAATACGTGTTATATTATCGAATTTTGATTTTAACATTCGTTGTATAGATGTTGTGAGAGACATTTGTCGTATTGTAATTTTAATTTTACATATATAATTAGAAATTAAAAAGTTTTATTTGCATTGTGAAAATTTGTTTTTTTTTTTTGAATAAATAAGTTTTTAAATTTCAAATAAAAGCATTGCAAAAGTTTATTTATTTTAGACATATACAAAATTTAATTTAAGCCAAGTAGAAATATAATATTACTTTTTTTATATTTTTATTAAATGGCAAAAGCAAAAGAAATCATATGTTCGTTGGACATGGAGAAGAATAATAATAATTCTATCAGTGCAGGTATTCTTTCTTTTATTGTTATATAAAATATGATTCTAAAATAATTTTTATGTTTATATATAAAATTTATAATTAAATATGAGAGATAAGGTATTTAGACGAGAGATAAGAGAGATAAGGTATTTATTTCTCAATCATAAATTTATAATCAAATATTGAATTCAATTTTTATGTAAAATTTTTGTTGTATTAATCATCATGCGAATGAAAAATTTCATCAAAATATTTTTGGTCATTTAGATTTGTCTAATCAAGAGGAAAAAGATAAACTGCTGGACGAGATCATTTTATTAGAAGCGCATGTCTCTCTACTAGAAACTATGATTGTAACACCCAAATTCGGTCAATTAGAATTTGACGAATTGTCATTGATACACGACAATAAAGCCACAAAATTTCATATACCGGACGTGCAAACGGAATTATGCCATGAACTTTACCGATTCGTGGGATTGCGATGTCGGGAATTTAACCAAAATTCGAGACTCGTTTTTGAAATCAATAACACCGTCACAAAAAACGATCCATACGCAATAGAGATACTGATAGACGAAAACGGTCGTGGAAAATTAGGAAAGTGGGTGTTGCCTATGTCCATCAATGTGCAAGAAATATTATCGCGATATCCTATCGATAATTTAAGTAACATAAAGCACTTTTTGAAGAGCTGCAAGCATCACGTTGATAGTTATCTTTGCCGCTTAAAACAGTTAGAAGAATTGCAAGTAAATAAAAAAGAACTGTTAACATAACAGAAATCAATTATTCTATTCGTTAAATATACTCATCATTTTATATTTTTCAAATTTTTTAATTATATTTTTTAAAAATTTATAACAATATTTTTAAATATTATATTTGTTATGATGATTATATCAGAATAGAAATGTTTCATACATATGCTAGTTACTGAGAAATTAATTAAACAATTTTTTTTACTCCTTAGGATTTACTCTCAGGGATCAAAAATATTCGCGTAACTCACACTTTGGGCATTATTTTAATTGAATTTGTAATATCAGGAATAAAAGATATAGACTCTGACAAATTTTATAACGTTATACTATATCTGTACTATGAGTCTGCCGCAGCAAGACCTCACAAATTATCCTCGGATACGGATGATAACGAGAAACCATCGCCGATTTTAGTTAAAAAATTAAACAAGTACTTTAAACCTTTCTTGAAGGAAAATTTGATTCCTGCAGATTAGCGAATCGCAAACTAAATTTGTATGGCAAAAAATTATAGCAAACGATAACGAAGATATTGCGGAAGTTTTCGACAAATCAGATGACGGAAATATAGGAGTTTTAGCGGAGTTTTTACATCAAGGCGACAAGAAGAGACAGAAGAAAAGCAAAAGTAAAGTACAAAATAAAGAAATTACTTTCCGTGAAAATGAAACGGAAACTACGTTTAGCGGTGAAAAAGAGAAGTTTAAAGATATTGATGTCACAGACACAGCGAGAGATGATTTTTCGGGAACAGATGAAAGAATTAAAACGCGCAAACGCAAACGGTTGACGAAGACAATAGCAAAACCAAACGGTGCAAAAAAATCACAGGCAGATTTAAAAAGACTCAGAAACGGAATGTCAAGCACAGAAAAAAATAGTGATCGAGATATTGAGGATATCGATTATCCTATTTCTAATGTCGCAAGTGGAGTAAAATCCAATGTACAACAGAAAAAATCTAATAATGAAATATGCGAAGCAAATATTGAGCATGTACAAATGGAAGATAATTATAATTGTAAGAAAGATTTGTTGCAAGAACCGATTGATGAAAGTAAAGAAAACCATAAAAAATTGCTAAATGAATCAAATAATACGAATAGTGAGCATTCGGTGAATTCACAGAAAGTAAAAAGGAAGAGAAGAACGATCACACGTATTGATCAAACTGAGAAGAATAATATTTCAAAACTGAAAAATAATAAACGTGCCAAAATAAGTAGTAGCACTCCTAATTCGAAAAGATTACCCAACAAATCCTATGTCTTTCATGAAATGTCATCAATAACACAGGAAAAATGAAGATAATATTATTAAAAATTATAATAAAATTAAGAAATTTTTAATATTGCACATGATTTATTATATTAAAGGATATTTTTAGCTTACTTTATATCAATAAAAGGCTGTCAGGGCTGAGCCGCGCATTCGACAGTTCAAATATTAAGTATGTATGTATAATTTTAATTTATTTAATTTTGATAAAACGGGTAACTAGAGAATATTTTGGAGCCCCTTTTTCTCTATTCTTTCGATTACTGTCTTTTTGCCTTCAATTTTATTCAAAAAATTAATATAATAAATATATAATAATTACGGTATCTCTCTTTGTCTGACTCCTCCCCTTCGACCTGTCCGGCATGGGTGACCCTACCGGTAACTATTAGCGTTTTCGAGTAAAGCAGGTTTGATTACTTTGAGAGCGATTAAATTCAATTTACCATGAATATATGTTCGACTAAATATATAGAGAGAATCCGATTAATATAAATATATATAATACATCAATAATATTAATAATATAAAGTACATCCCGCTATTTTGACTTCAAAAGATTTTTTATCCTGATTAATCAATTAAAGGCTTACTCGAAGTATTTCTCATTGATTAATCTAATAACCCAAGTATCTCTAACATCCAAGTTTATGAATTTTATTCATTAATCGGTTTCAAAGCGATCAAACTTGTTTCACTCGAAAACACTATATGTTACCGCCGGCGTAGCTCTCAGGTTCATTGGAGTACTCAAACCTCCTCACCCGGCAAATGCCTTCGATAAGGTGGAGATATCATCGAGGAGGAAAAATTTTTATTCGAAATTTTTAGATATAGGTGATAAACAATGATCAATATTTGAAAATACATAATGTGTGTTTATACATATATAATAATATAATAATGCATATTGAAAATACATAAAATTTACCTAATTTACACAAATATACATTTATACATACTTTGTTGCATTATATATATTAAACATATAAAAAATATTTTATTATATTATATTACACGAAAATGTTCGAAATACGTACAATATAAAATTTATTCGAATTTTTAGATTAAACATAGTTGATAGTCTACCGCGACCAAAAAAATCATCAATAAATTTGATTATGTTTCTCTCAATTAAAAGAGAACGATTTTTTAA